TAGCTCACGAACCCTTCTCTTTTTTACACATCCGTACCTGTCCAAAGAAAGTTAAAAAATGAGAGAGAAAGTAGAAAAAGAAAGTAAGAGTTTTCGAGAGTTTTAGAGAGATTTCAAGGTTAGTTTCTCTACTGATTTCGAATCAAAGCCTAGGGAAGGTTCTGTCCAACTGAAGGTCAGTCAAGTGAATATCTTAGAAGAAATTCAACGTAGCTAGAGAGAGAGAGAGAAAGAAAGTACCTGAGTTCTGAAGACTGATACTTAACCCATAAGCCGAGTTCTGTCCAGTCGAAGATTTTCTGTTATTGTTACACGAAAGCTCTGCCCAAATCAATCCGTCCAACCAGTCATATTATTTGATGATCAAAGGGAGGTTCTTTCCAAGTCAAAATTAGTCCAGTCCAGTCCATTCAAGTCATCCATTGGGTTTTGGCCAAGTCCTCTCCGATCAACCAGCTTTTTCTCGCCTAGAACATTGTGAGTTGGTTTTGTGTTAGTTCTGCTTGGAACTTAGGATAATTTTGTGAGTTGGTTATATTTGACTTCTGTTTGGAATTTACGATAGATCGAGTCAGCATATAGATTATAATGATCAAACTATTTATGGTAGAGTCCTTAGAGTTATTTTGTTAATTAGAACCGGACACAGTTTAGCACGAGCTAAGCTGAGAATAATTGGAATTAAGACTGAGTTAATAACCTGGTTAGGAATAGGACTAGGATGTATCATGTTTGCTATTATTGTGTGTTGATATGGTTGAGTGCAGGTTCCCCTTCTCTTTAAGGATAGTTTCATAGCAGGAGGCTAAACTATCTAGGTAAGGGTTTAATTGAGTGATTGCTTGTTTATATAATGCTTGTTGATTAACGTTAGCCAGATCTTGGTAAGGTAGTGACTAACCGGTTGAGTTGTTATTTATTAAGTATTGTTGTTTACTTGTTAAGATGTTAGTTTAAATGTCTTAGGCCATATAGGCTGGACTACTGGTACTATTGGTTAGTCTCGAGTCTAAATGATATCGCTAAGTTGTGGATAGTTAGGTATTCTGGAATCTATGTTTTTAGGCTAGGTACTAGAATTGGTTTGTGTTTTGTGTGTGATGCCGACAGCATCTATGTAACCCCCCCATGCTAGGCATGTTTAGGGGTGGATTAGTGTTTCCTTGGCCTCTTACCCAGCGGGTTCAAGGAAATTCCTTATTCGCGGGATCGGGAAGACTCATAGAGACGGGGTCATGGCCTAGGGATGAGTATTACACGACGGTGTAATGTGGCAGTGACCCGATGGACTGTGGGCTGTCGCGCGGTGCCCCGAATGACTGTGGGCCACTGTTGGTTGAAAGATCCTTCTTCTAGCTTTTGTGGTAAGGAGATAGGATATTGCCGATGTAGAGAGGCGGAACACGAAGTCACCAGGGCCCATGTTAGAGTGTCATGTTGAGTTAGAGTGTTGAGTTGTGTATAGGGTTATGAAACCCTAGGGTAAGTGTAACACTGACATACGGTGTTGCGAGTTAGATTGAGTCGTAGTTAGTTATTATCTTATTATTGTGATATTGGTGATTGATTTGTTTTGCAGGTTTCTAACACTGAGATCTAATTATGGGTTTGGTACCGGATTAGACTTGGTGTCTGTTTGGTTAGTGTAGACCCAAAATTGATTGTTATATTGTTTGAGCGATTGCTTATGAAGAATGGTGGATATTGAAGCTATGTGGTATCATTGATTGGCCGATCATGTTCTTGTCTGATTGTTGGTCGACCGGTTGATGATACTTGTTTAGTCTAAGTGTCTAACACTACATGAGTACGGAACTCAGACATATATGGTTAACTAAGGATTAGTTGTGTAGCCTTTACTTTGATTGCATGCTTAAGCTAGATTGATTGTTATTTTTTGTTGTCTGGGTTTGTTATTCAGTTGTTGGTAGAGGCCACCAACTCACTGAGTGACATTAGGTTACTCATCCAACTCTGTTGTCCTTTTTGTAGGTATCTTTAGATATAGTTGACCGAGATAGCATGGATCTGGACATTAGAATCACCATAGTAAATTTTTATGCCTTTTGTATACGGTATTTTGGTTTTTGTTTAGTTGACTCGATTTGGTGTTAGGCCAGGACCGGTTTTGAATTATAAATTGTATGGATATTTATTGAGTCAAGAAATATTTGATGTATATGTGCATCATGAGTACTCTGATATTTGACTAGTCAGGTCTAACACAATGTTAGGTCGTTGTACGGGTTAAAAAGCATTAGGCTTCGATTTAACGAAAACCGTTAACTCTTGGTACGGGTTGCAAAGCCTTATGCCTTGATTTAGTGGGACGAGTTAGTGGATGACTGTTCTAAGTCGTGGAGTAAATTTGTTGACTCTGGCTCGATCGTCTCTAGCCCGTCACGTAGCGCTTATGGACCATGGTGTTGGGTTGGACGGTCAGTCATGTTCTTGTTTGATTGTTTGCTGGCCGGTTAGCCTTTCATCTCAAACCCTGTGTGTTGGTCGATTAATCGGTCATGTTCTTGTTTGATTGTTGGCTGGTTGATCGACCATATGTCTAGGACGGTTCGGGGGTGTTACAGCCAGGTACACAGATTGCAAGTTTAATAAATCGACTATCCAACATCAGGGGAAGAAAATAATAAGCTAGTAAAAGAAATAAGAATGGAATCAACCATCATTGTCTTGGCAAGATCCTCGAACTAAAGAATGTGGTTTAGACATCGAAAAGATTATACATTTACAAAGGCTAGCTAATCAATTTCCAGACTCATTTGCTGACTAGAAAAGAGTGACTAAGTCATATATACCAGCTTGTAATGCACTAAATTCGAATTTCATGTCCAAGAGAGACACAGTCAAATTGTTACAGAGTCTAAACAACGTATGAAACGTGGTAGACCAATAGGTTCCAAAAGATAAGAATCCTCAGAAACAAAAGAAAGGTGCAGAGAATGATAATAAATCCGAGGTCGAGGAAACCATCTCAGACATAGTCATGGCCGGCCGTAAGATACCATATAATGTGGCTTGGGATGCCAAGCTGCACGGTACTAAAGCACCTGAAATAATGAGATTGCAATCAATTATATCATGTCTGGAATACAATGGAACCAAAAGAAAAGATGTCGACATAAGATAATTTATTTGCATACAAGGTAGCACTTGAACTTATGGATATAAACGAGGATCATGAACCCACGTCAATATAAGAGTGCGCACTCGTAGAAAAGATTGGATTAGATGAAAAATGTGTGGTTAAATAGTTTAAAGAAGAGAGGCGTATTTGACCATATGATTAAGATGCCATAAGATATAAAATCAGTGGATATAAATGGATCTTTGTGAGGAAGAGAAATGAAAAGGTGAAATCGTGAGATATAAGACATAATCACGTGGTCTAAGTTGTCTATGTTTTTACTTACAACATTCAAGCACAGCTTGTTGCACAAAGATTCTCACAGAGATCATAAATAAATTATGAAGAGACATACTCCCATGTGGTGAATGCTACTACATTTCGATTTTGATAAGTCTGGCCATTAGATTTGCATCTAATGGATGTAGTAACTGCATACTTATATGGTCCACTGGATAATGAGATATATATACATGGAAGTACCAGAAGGTACTGAGCTCAAAGATAAGAAAAACAGCACTGTATAAGGCTGAACAAATCTATTTATGAACTGAAACAAAGCAGCTGCTATATAATATAATAGACTAAGTGAATACTTAGTGAAAGAGGGCTGTAAGAATGACCCAATCAGTCCATGCATATTTATAATGAAATCCAGCCATGTTTATTTATACTAGCCATGCCAAAGAGGGGTTAATTGGTTTTGTTGATACAGATTTATCTTTCAGACCGCAAACAGGTTATTTTTACATACGGTAGGATTGCAATATCTTGGCGATCCATACCATTCAGAAACATTAGACTGCAATATATTAGCTATTCATGAGGCACCTAAGGGAGTGACCGGAAGTATGTTTGGTTGAAGACCATAACCCAACATGTCCGATCAGAGTATGGAGTGGTCGACGGCAAAGAAGCACATACTGCCCAAGTTTTCTTCACTCACGAGTTGATACAAATGGCAAGGTCCAAGTACTTCAAATTTCAACATCAACCTTTAGTAAGGTTCAAATCAAAGGGAGTAATACGTGTTGTACTCTTTTTCCTTATCCATGGTTTTACCCGATTTTATCCCTTTGGGTTTTGGATTTTTCTTGGAAAAGTTTTAATGAGGCAACATCCAAAGCGTATTACAAGCTCTAATGGTTATGGCATCCAAGGGGAAGTGTTATAAACCATATTGTGGATTGCCCTAACTAGGCCGGATAGTCCTAACCAGCCCATAGACCAAACCGCCTGGTCTTTTTTTTTTCCCTCGTTGTATTAGGTTTTATACTATTTCCTTTTCCTTATGAATTTAAGATTTGTAATCTTTTCATATTTCTGTATCTTGTAATTCCTATATAAAAAGATCTTATGTTATGAATGAAAGATACAACTTTCCCAAGTTTTACAACAATAACCATATATGGAGTCGCCCCACAAAACCTTTTCCTTCTGACGGCAAATCACAACAAAACTAGAACATAATAACGCATATACAATCTTTTGTCTGATGTGTTCAGTATCTAAAAACAAAACCAAGTGGAAAAGTATAACATTCCTGGTCCATTCTTGGAACACTCTATAGGTTAGCGAGGTTCTTGGAGCTAATGGAAAGAGAGACTTATTGCAACTTTAGGTATTAGAAATTTGTATACAATATGTACTCACACATACCACTCTATATCATCACCACCAACGCATGTTTCAAACGAAGAAGAGTCATTTTCATATAAAATAGTTCTCAGGTGCCAAAAGACAAATCCTATACCCATATCTAACGAGTTTAAAAGACATGTGACAAACATAGAAACATGCGAGAAAAAGAAACATGAAGAGAGAAACAAAGTCCAACAAAAGCCACATCCTCTTTTCTTCATGGCCTGCAAAGTATACTGGAGGAACGAGCAAGCCGAATAGTCAGACCACCGCCGTGAACACTTGTCTCAACCTTGATTGTGTTCCTTTCATATGGATTTCTGCAACCTGGGCAACACCCTTCTCCATCGCAGATCGTCTTGTGGCAGAAAAGGCAGAGTCGGAATCCACAAGGGCATGGCAAAAAATTAGAATCTGTTAAGTCCAGATCTTCATAGCAAATGGGACATGAAGATGGCACAGCCACAGAACTAAAATGCAAGTTCATAACCGGAAAACTACAGTGCTTCTCCAAATTAGGCAGACCCTGAGGACGGAGCTTATCATCCGGCCTCCACGCCTGGTTGCTCTTCTGCTTATCTGACTGCTTGACACTCTCATGCTCTTCACAGGACTCAGGAGGAGGATACTCTTTCTCATGATTTTCATCATCAGCTGCTAAAGCATCAGCAAAAGCCTCCCAGTCATCCAAACCACCGTCATTGTCCTCTTCGTCTGTTATACTACCAGAGCAAGAACCACCACTCCCACTACTACTGCTGCTGCTACTACAATCAGGGACTGAATTGATATCACTTAGGACACTGTTGGGGCTATTCGAAAGCGACTCTATAACGCTTTCATGACAATGTGTTCCATTGTTATCCTCTTCTCCACCCATCTAGATTCTCAACCGGACAATCTCTCTGACCTTTATCCCATTTGCTAATCATCGCAACTGATAGGAAAATCCACAATCAAGAACCTAATCAAATCATGTGAATGGAAGATTAAAGAACCAAAATGTATAACCTTTATGATGATACCTTGAGAAAGCCATTGCTCACGGCGAAGGCCTAGCTTGCTCTGTTTCAATTTCGTCGCCCTATTCGTCTGCGAGCCAATGCAATCATCAGAAACCCCACAACGAACACATCAAAGAGTGAATCCAATTAATCGAATTGAGAGAAATGAGTGAGATTAGAGGAAGAAGACAACAAATGAAAACATACCTTTTTCTTTTTTCCGAAATCCCTCGCGCTTAAAGCTGCAGTAGCAGATGCGTCGGTGATCGAATCAGAAATCATGGCTTGCCAAATCAAAATGGAAGATACTTAAAAACCCTTATCAGATTTGTTGCGAGAAGGAAGAGACAAGAAACATGCGTTATTTTTTGTTCCTTCTTCTTTGTATGTTGCTTCTGTGGGAGCAGATAGCAGAGAGCAGAGAGCAGAGAGCAGAGAGCAGAGAGATGATATAAAGAGATAACGAAAATCCTCGTCTCCGCACAGAGCTTTTCATTACAAGAATACCCCTGGATTTGACCGTCGTACACACTCGGAGGTAGGCGCTGTTTTGTAGTCATGTCAGATCTACAAATGTTAGTTTCTTTTTTCTTTTTTTTTTTTTTTTTTTTGTTAAAGCCCATTATAAAAGATTAAGTGTTCGTCGAGTTTGAGATGTTCCGAAGAGCCGTTCGATCCGACCGAATCTGATCTACATGGAAAGGAGGACACCGCTAATTCTCACCTCCTTTGCTAGATGGTCTGCACACAAATTCCTTGTTCTAGGGATATGAAAGATGATGAAACCAGAAAAACTATCTCATAAGAGATGGAAGCAAAAGCCGGCTAGTCGATTGGGTTTGCAATCATATCAATCAAGTCGGAGCAATCTGTCTGTACATGTATCGTGGTTACTAACAACACACGTCGGTAAGACATCACCCGAATAAGCGTTTTCATCTCCGCATGAAGCGCCGAAATACTTTGTCGAAACCCTTATAGTTCAAAATGTTCGATCCCCATTTGATCCCTATAAGTCCATCCGAGTCCACTAACCAAACCATGTTTGATCTATGAGGCATCAATTTGGCAGGTTGGGATCTGAATGTCGCTGGATGAGAATGATCTGATGTGGGAGAGGTGGTGCATCCTCTTCCGCTTCTTCCTCGTCTAGTTTGCAACTCTCTAACAATCTGTTTCTATCTTAGCTAATTGAAGAGTGTCAATAGGTGAGATTTATTTCCCACTGAAAACATTATTATTCATTGCCATCCATATAAACCATAGGATCTATGTGAAGGTTTCAATTAGTGGTTCCAAACAGGCCACATCTTTATTCCTCCAAAAAAAAGGGATCCATGTTTTGATAAACAGACGTACTCGGTAAGTAACCCGGATGAGACGGATAGTCCGATAAAGTCCACACCTACAATGCAGGAGGCACTCAAAAAGAAGGTGGTTTATGGTTTACTCTTGGCCACCGCATCTAGGACAACTCTTATCAATGCCTAGATGTCGAAAAGCTAGTCTTTCTGTAGTCGCAATTCAACCTGTCCGCGCTTGCCACATATAGTGTTTCCTATTCCTTGGTGCCCAAACCTTCCAAACATGGCTTTGTAAACTAGTGATGCTTGGTTGAGTAATCTGGTCCAGGTCACTACTAGGTTTATTTTTCCGTAGCAGATCATATCCACATTTAACTGAGTAGACTCTAGATTTTGTATGGTTCCACACATAACCCCGTCCATGGACCACGTATTTTTAGGTCTCAAACCGAGTATACAATGTATATCTTCCGGATGGAAATAGCCTTGTAAGAGATAAATATCTCAATCCCTTGTATATCGCCTCGCCTAATAAGGAAGTGAACAGTTTTGGGTTTTGGAGGGTCACCCATTCCTAAGTTCTCGGAGGACGGGCGACAATATCTGGGATCCACGGTTTGGTTCATACTCTGGTATTAAGACCTTCTCAAATAGTTTCCCGTAAGCTGGATTTTAGGAGCAGTCTTGCTGCCATCATGCTTCTCCAACCATATGATGGGGAGTAAACCTTTTTTGTCTTCCAAGGGGAAAGATTGATTGTTAATCTTCCTCTAAGGACTCGAGCGAGAAGTGAGTTCGGCAATTGAATCAGTCTCCATGATTGATTTGCTAATAAAGCCACATTAAAGTCATTAAGGTCTAGAAACCCAAGCCCACCCTGATCATGTGGGACACAAAATTTGTCCCATGCAATCCAATGGACACCCCGGTTATTTTGACTCGAGCTCCACCAAAATTTGAAAATCACACCTTTTAATTTATCCACTACTCCTTGAGGTAGCAGGTAACACGACATAGGATATGTCAGTACTGCTTTAGCCACAACTTTAATTTGCACTTCCTTTCCACCTTTTGAAAGTAGCCTTGCCGACCACGAGTTGACACACCTGTTTAGGCGATCCTGAACGTAGGAAAAAGTTTTCATCTCTGGTAGTCCTAAGTACATCCCCATTGCTCCTTTTGTTGTTATTCCAAAGATGCTTTTAACATTTAGTTTCAAATTATGCTCCACTTTACCAAATATTAGTGAAGACTTTAATGAATTTAGTCTTTGTCCTAATACCTTCCCATAAGAATTTAAAATAGTGAGAATTTCTAAGCATTGTCCCACTTTCGCTTTACAGAAGAATAAGCTATTGTCCACAAAAAAATAGGTGGGAGATTCGCAGACTAGCCCAGGCCACCCGTAATCCAATAAATTGTTTTTCTAATTCTGCTCCATTAAGGAGGGAGATCAAACCTTCGGTGCACAAGATAAACAGAAAAGGTGAGAATGGGTCTCCGTGCCTCAGTCTTCTTTCAGGTGTAATCTTTCCCCTGGGTTCCCCATTAATGACCACTTGGTATGATACAGATGTCACACAGAACATCAATAGGTCAACCAAGTTCTCTAAAAATCCCAAGGGCAGCATGAGGGTTCTTATGAAGCTCCATTCACTACAAAAAAACAATAATGTGGTGAGGGCCGTTTTCATGGTTATTTCCTCGTAAATGAGCTTTTATGAGGAAATAACCACGAAACGGAAAACGTTGTGCCACATTCGTCGTAGCCCATATTTCCTCACTAAAGTCTCGTAACTTTACGAAGAAAGAGTTCGTCGTAAATACGGGCTTACATTTCCTCGTAAAAGACACGTAATATATTCCACGTAAAATATATGGTAATATCTCCTCGTTAAATACACTCAAAGCTTTCCTCGTTAAATACTCGTTAACCTTCGTTGTATTTTCCACGTAATTTTTTCCTCGTAAAGTCCACGCTAAGTTTCGTAGTTAATTCCACGTAAAATTAACGACGAATTTACTTTGAAACTTATTTTTTTCTGCATTGGTAATTAATTCTAATAAAATAACAAAAAATTATTTTAGAAAAAAAAAATTAAAATAATAGATGAAAACTTAAATATTTTATAAATATGTAAGTTTTAAATTTATATTACAACAAAAAGATATAAAAGAGCTACGGATGATTCTGGAAGTTGTCGTTCTTTCCGTCCATCTCGTCCTGGCGATCTGACTCTGGAATACCCAATTGTCTCCGTCTTGCTGCTAGCATCATCTCTAATTGTGGATTTCCAGCCGTTAGAACGTCTAGAAACCCTCGAGGGAACCCATTTGAGCTTGCGTCGTGCTTAAATCAAAATGCGTCGCGTTCAACTTCGAATGCAGCTACTCAGTCTCATCTTCCCGTCACTGAGCATAAGATGATGTTGCTCTTGGGACATCGTTAACCGAACCAATCCCCAATCTACGTCACTTTTTCTTAGGGACAACCTTTACAAAACTTAAAAATTAAAAGTTAGCTAATAATAAAAAGTTAGATACTAAATGAATAATAATAATAAAAATTTACCTGCTTGTAAATCTCATCCACTTCTGCTGTGGATAATGTGTCGGGTATCTCATCGGAGGACTTCTGGTCAGCTGGGTTTGGTGCTCTTCAACCCGAGCAACAACGTCGTTGTGGATTTGCTCGGATCTCGGATCTCCAAATTTTCCAGCCTTATTCTAGTGGGTCCTCTCGTAAAGTTCCTTAAGAGATCGAGAACTCCCATCTCTTTGGCCTAAAAATATTTTTTTTTAAATAATTAATCAATTAAAATAGATATAATAAAAAGTTATCTATTTTAAATATTTATTATCCCTAGACGGACACCGGTGTGGGGTGTTTGACCCGAAGAGTTAAGCATCGGCATGTTGCCATGCTCATTCTTCGTCAGACAGAAAGAGGAGCAGCTGTTGGTGACTGTGATCGATGTTGGAAAACTCAATTAATGGATAAGACCATCCCACACCTCCATTGTGAGCTCAGCGAGTTTTTCGTGCTCATAACCATCCACCAGATAATCGTCCTTCAAGTTGGACACCGTGTCCAACAATCGCTCTTTTGTCTTTTTGACAAAAGCTTGTTTCACGTCCTCATTTACTCGTATAGACCAACACCATTTTGGTTGTAGATAAAAAAATATTAGATTAACAATTAGTCTAAAATATTTAAAAAATCTTAATAATTTAAAAATAAAATTAATAATCACTTACAACAAACATTTTGAACCACGTCTTTCTGACGTGGTTTGGCATCGTTTTCTAATTTGGATGTGCCTCGGGGAAGTAACCTTTGGTTACCCCGGTTACGCTCTGAGCGACACGATTATTACACTACAAGAAAACTCGTCCATTACTATGACGGGTTTTCCTCGTTATTTCCTAGTACATGGCCTTTTACTAGGAAATAACGAGGAAACGCGTTTCGTCGAAACACGTTCATCGTAAAGCCTTTTTCCTCATAATGTCCTAGCGAATTTACGAGGAAACATTTCCTCGTAAAGGCGTGATTAGATTTTCCTCGTAAGGTCCTCGTAGCGTTTCCTCGTAAACTCGTAGTAAGCTTTTACACGTAAGCTCATAGTCATACGTTACGAGGAACTTACTAGAACTAATTACGAGGACATTACTTGGAAACCATTCTGAGGATTTTGCTTCTAAATATTTTTTTCCCTATTAAAAAAATTAATTATAAATATAAATAATTTAATTTTTAAAAATAAAAAAATCAAATTATAAATAAAAAATAAAATATTTTATAAATAACTAAATAATATACAATTAAGTTTTAAATTTCATAATATACAATTAAAAATAAAAAAAAACTACGGATGCTGGTCGTGAAATTGCCGAACGAACTCGTCCTGGCTCGCCAAATCCTACTCGTCTCCAAAGTTGGTTGCCGGCTGTGACTGTGATGGTGGATGCTGTTGG